CACCCGGAGGGCCTGCTCACCAGTTCTGGTGGAGTAGTTCACATCTGGCCCGTAAGCCCCTCCTTCCTGTCTCCCACTGCATCCTACAGCACGCGAGCCCACCTCCTGGGCAGAGGGCAAAGCCGCTCAGGTGACAGCCTGACCCAGGCTGTCCCACTGGGATTCATCCTTGCTCTGCCTACTGCCGCGGCGGTCAGCTGCGGAGCCCAGGTCTCCTTTTCTGAAAACGGTGAGCAGGGACAGGATTTCGTGTTGGGCATTTAGAAGCATCCCATCGTAGAGCATTGTCTGTGTCACTAGCCGCCATCTGGACAGGAGCTGTACGCCCAGCCCCAGCGCCTCTTCCATGTGGACACTTGCTGCATCCTTAGGCCTCTTGCCTCTTGCCTTTTCTCCTTGCTTTCTGACTAAAAACCCTTCTCTTGTGAGGCCTTTTCCATTCTGCCAAATAACCCCGGTGCTCCCTCTTAAGCGTGAATGCCTGGTCCCTGCAGGAAGGGGTGATCATCCCTTGGCCACGCTTCAGCGAGACAAGGTCAGCCCTCTCGTGAGGTCTTACCCACACACAAGCTGCCACCCTAGATTTGGGCTTTTGAACACAACTGCCACAGAATTGTTTGCATTATGATCCAGTAAGTCAGATTCAGTAGGCTTTTCGGGACCTATATATAAAATTCTCTCCGAGGTGCAGCCTGAGCCCTAAGCAGCACATTTTTTTTTTTTTAATAGCTAATTGCTAATTCATTCACATGGTTCAAAAACCCCAAATCATAAAAAGATGTACAGTGAGAAGTTTCTCGCCCGCCCTCATCTGTCGTATCCCATCCACTCCTCCCTGTGGGCGGCACCATTATTAGTTTCCTGTGAATGCTTCCAGAGAGATTTTACAGAGATGCAAGCCGAGACAAGTGTGTCTATATACTTCGGCACCTGTTCTTCTTTCAAAGATGGATATCTTTGAGCTCTTTCTATATCAGCACACAAAGAACTGCTTCATCCTTTTTAAGACCTGTATAATACTCATTTGTACTGGATGCACCTTAATTCAATCTAACCAGTCCTCTCCTCTGTCAGTGGACAGTTAGGTTGTTTCCAACTCCAGACTGGTGTAAGTCCCTGGATTGATAATCTTGTACATGTATTATGTAAGTGGATAAATCTCTGTAAATAGAATTCTGGTGTTGAAGGCATGGGATTTGCAGTTTTGATAGATACTAGATCTCTTGGGGCTCCCACCATGGGGGTCTGCACTTACCAGCCCAGTGTGTTACCACACATTTGTATCTTGAACAGGCTTTGGGATGTACCCCCTTCCTAACTGGGGAGCTGACTATGAACTCCCAGCAAGTGTGTTTATTCAGTGTCGGGACCTTCTTCTCTGGAGCCTGGCCACTTGGCTTAGAGCTTTATAGCCACGTAGCCTTGGCAAAGGGACCCAAGACTCATGGTCTGTACCTCAGTGCGTCATTTGTAAAATGGGGCTATTAACAGTAGCAGCCTCGTGGGTTCTTGTGCATGAGCTAGTAGGTTGGAACAGTGCCCAGAACACAGAGAGGCTTTCAGTAATATTCAGTGTTGGTGGTTCCCAGGAGCGTGCACATACCCTCCCCAGGACCAGCCACTTTGTTTCCGCTGAAGAAACTGTGTGTTAGGTTTCTGTATTAGCGACGGCAGAGGAGATGTGGAAAGAATAGTCAGGCCAGGAAGGGAAAGGGGGGCACTGATGTCCATCAGCTGATAAGCCTGGGAGCCCAGAATATCCAAAAAGGAGGGGAGGAAGCAGCCAGTGTAAGACATCCTCCTCATTAGAGTGTGATCTGTGGGATCAAGCATGGTTGCCCCTGAGCTGGAGAAGGACAGATACGAGAGAGGGATGGGGTCGGAGTTCCATTTCCCCAGCATTACATCGCAAATAGCAACTCATCTGAAGTTGTGAAACTGACATTTTTGTCCCAAATTCTTTAAAAAAAAATTTTTTTTTCCAGTGTATTTGGGAGCTCATAGAATGGGCACATAGTAGAAATTCAATACAAATTATTGTTTGCAAAGTCCTAGAAGCCTACATCCCTGTCAGGCAGTAAACACTATATAAACATTTATAGAAAGAAAAACGCCTTTTACAGGATCTTCTCTCTTCTCCCACCCCGGTGTCATTGCCTGTAGCCCTTGTGGCCTTCACTCACCAAGCCTTTCCTTATTTTTTGTCGCTTCCTTCCCACCTTTGTGTCCGTGCCGCTGACATAAAACCCAGCTCCGACCAGGCCGAGCCAGCCTCTGGCGAAGGGCTTGCAGTGCCCATGGCGGTGGCCATGGTCATGGTCAAGGCTGTGGCCAGGCAGGGAGGGAAGGAGGGCTGGGCGTTCCCCTCCTCCCCCCCAGCCTTCCAGGCACAAGTGTTTCCTCTCCCCTCTCCCCAGCTCACCCAGTCCTTGTTCAAGTGCAGGGCGATGGTGCGGGATGCCGTCAGCAGGGCAGGGAACTGTTCGCTGGCTGCATCTACATGGTATTTTTCTGCGTAGTTTGAAGTGCTCTGCCTCGGGTTCTGGCCTCGCATAACCCTGACTCCACCAGCTGACCACGGGCAGCCCTCACTTGCCCCTGAGTTGTGGTGGACACACTGTATCTTTCCCCAGCAGCTGTTGTCCTGGCCGTGTGTGCTGAGGACACCACTCCGGTGGGCACCTGTCCCTCGGGCTGCCTCCCACCTTCTTTGGGCTCCCCGGTGGTCCCTGCAGGCTGTCACCCACCATGCTGTGCCCAGAGGCGCAGGAAGGCAAGGCCAGCTACCCCAGGTGGCAGGGGCCCCAGGCTGTTAGACAGTTACCAGGAGGTTCTGATGTTGGGATCCAAGGCTTTGGATTTGTAACATCTGTGACTGCCACCAGACTCAAATTCGAGTGAACATTGAGAGAACATCTGGACCCACCAGACTGGCTTCTTACACACGCATGTCCCCTTCTTTGGTATCAAGCACCTCTGTTAGTAACACGGTGTTTCCTTGGGATCCTAACCTCAAGTGGGAAGCAGAAGCTCGGGGCACCTTTGTGTGGCTACAGCAGAACACCTCGGGGAGCTTTTGGAGCCAGGATCAGGACTAAATAGAAAAGAAAGATGGCAAGTGTGTGGTCCCAGGTGACGGCTAGGTTAGTGAACTCCGGATACAGTCCACCTTGTGCACTGCCTGGGCCTCCTCCCCACACACGAAGCCAGGGCATGGTGGGCCTCTCCAGCTCATCGTTCTCCACCTTGTCGAGCCTGAGTACAAGCCAGTTCCCAAACAGAGCTAGTTGGTACCTTGCCAGCGGGTGCCAGGGCACAGTTCTTTCCACCTGCTTTGGGGAAATGGATTTAAAATTCTCGCCGAAAGGAAAGAAGTACGCAGCAGACACGGACGGCCTCTGGCTGCTACAAAGCAAATGTGGCTGGCTGTCCCTTCAAGCCACCACCCGACTCAGCTCTTTGAGTATTGATTGATATATTTATCTATATGCTCTGCTGCCGATGGGAGGAGAGCCCGATGAGAGAGGTCTTAGCCGAGGCATTTCAGGAATTCCTGCTGTGGGAAAGGTTTTAACTTCCCCATGTCAGCCGGTGTGACTGAAGAGTTAGAGGATTATTTTTAAGAGACGAAGAGTTTCTCCTCTGTAGGATGAGAACCTGGAGCCCCACACCTCCTAGCTTAGCACTTCTGATTGTGTTAAGTAGCACGTGTGAGGAGGGTGTGTGAGTTTTCCATGCTGGTAACACATGACCACAAGCTCGGTGGCTTACACCACCCCCTAGAGATTGCCCCACAGTTTCTGTGGGTTGGGAGTCCAGGCAGGGCTTTGCTCCAGGGTCTCATCAGGCAGTGAGCCAGCTGTCAGGGCTGCAGTCTCATCAGAGGCTCAACTGGGGGGAGAAATCCACTTCCAGTTCCCACAGGTTGTTGGCAGAATTTATCTCCGTCAGCCCTCCGTCAGCACGGCAGCTTACCTTCCCCAGGCCAGTGAAAGGAGTCTTTCTCAGTCTGCTAAGATGGACTGTTTCATAATACAACCTACCCAGGGGGACGTCCCATCCCCTTTGCCATATTCTGTAGGTTAGAAGCAAGTCCCAGGTTGTGCCCACAAAGGCATTAACACCAGGAGCCCTATCACGGAGGTTTCCTTGGGGTTCCGCCCACCCCGGAGAGAGGATATGTGCTTTACCAGTAAATGTTCCAAAAGTATTCCCAAGTGAAGACCCAGCCTGTTATAGATGATCACACTGGTTTTTTTCTGTGAAAAGAAGCAGTTTTGTTATTTTGCTTCCATCTCAGAAGGACTCAAGTCCTGAAACCCTTGACGGCCCAGTTCTCCGTGCCACAACCTGATTCCAGCTGCAGCTCTTCTGTTTACTGACTGTAGGTGATTGAGAAAGGGTGATTTATTTTTTGACCCCCAAATCCCTGTTTTCTCATGTGTAAGAATGCAGTTCGCTGCATAAATAGCCACTGTCACTTAGTAAATATTTCCAGTCCCTTTGCTTATAAGACTATTCACTGTATTGCATTAATTTTATTTAGACACGGGACTCAACAACAAAATACTGTCAGTCTTGCTAGCGTGAACACCAGACAAAAGAGAAAACACATTGTAAAGCAAATCCACTTGTATCTAAGGAGCTGAAATCACTCTGGTCATGTGCTGACAGCCATTCTTATGATAGAGGAAAAATCTAAAATCTTAGACATGTGCAGAAAATTGTGTCCATGGCCATGTTTAAAAAGTGCTGGTGTCATAGGTATGAGGTTTTTCAATCTCTTTCCTTTTTTTTTTTTTCTTTTCTCCCCCTGAAATAAGACTAAGATTAGTGGAGCCTTAGTAAAAGACCCAAAGATTAAAGTTTTTATCTGAAGATTCAAGTTTTTATCCTCCTTGATAGAGGGAGAAGACAAAATCAAGCTTGGCTTTCACAGCCTCTTGTGAAAAAGGCAGGCCCCAGTGAACCCCGAAGGACCAGCAACTATAACCTGCTCTGGTTTCCTTTCCAGGTTTCTCCTCGTCGTGGAAGGGGTTGGATGATGTCCCTGGCTCTCCAGGACGCCCCTCCTTGGCTGTAATTGCAGGAAGGCCTCTTAAACCCCGGCTCATCTCCCAGCCACTTCTGGAAGCTACTTGAGAAAAAAAAAATGATGTGACAGATCCTATCAGAAAGGATTTTCGGAAACCTAACACCTTCGAAGAAAGTGGCCCTTTTCCCTTTCTCAAAGTAGACATTCTCCAATTCCAAAATGCCAGCCAAGACCCCGATTTACCTAAAAGCTGCCAATAACAAGAAAGGCAAGAAATTTAAACTGAGGGACATTTTGTCCCCCGATATGATTAGCCCTCCCCTGGGAGACTTCCGCCACACCATTCACATCGGCAAAGAAGGTCAGCACGACGTCTTCGGCGACATCTCGTTCTTGCAAGGGAACTACGAGCTGCTCCCGGGAAACCAGGAGAGAGCGCGCCTGGGCCCGTTCCCGGGGCACAGCGAGTTCCTGCGGGCCAACAGCACCTCCGACTCCGTGTTCACGGACACGCCCTCCCCCGTGCTCAAAAACGCCATCTCCCTCCCGACCATCGGAGGGTCGCAGGCGCTCATGTTGCCCTTGCTGTCGCCGGTGACGTTTCATTCCAAACAGGAGTCCTTTGGGCCGGCCAAGCTGCCCCGGCTTAGCTGTGAGCCGGTCGTGGAGGAAAAGGCCCCGGAGAAGAGCAGTCTGCTGGGGAACGGGACGGGCCACCAGGGAGACGTCTCGTGGGGCTCCAGCGGCTCCGCGTCGCAGTCCAGCCAGGGCAGGGACAGCCACTCCTCCAGCCTCTCCGAACAGTACCCCGACTGGCCGGCCGAGGACATGTTTGACCATCCTGCCCCATGCCAGCTTGTCAAGGAGAAGACGAAGTCGGAGGAGTCCCTCTCCGACCTCACAGGTTCCCTCCTCTCCCTACAGCTCGATCTGGGGCCCTCCTTTTTGGATGAGGTGCTGAATGTCATGGATAAAAATAAGTAACGGACACCGCCGACTCTTGGCCTTTGGGGGGAAAAGGTATCAAAAAATAAAAACTAAACTAAACCACAGTCGAAGAGAAGAGCTTCACTGGCTATGTGTGCAGTTGTGTGTGATGGGTTTTCTAAGATAACGTTCCTACGAAATATTTTTTGTACCTGTTATGCCCTGTTTGCAAAAACAGAAAGGCAAAAAAAAAAAAAAAAAAAAAAAAACGTCCTGGCAGAAAGGAAGTGAGTCATTCAGAACCCATTTTCGGCGGGTATTGCTGATGTTCAGCTCACGTTTTTTTATTTCCAGAAACGTAAGAACTCTGGCTCGGCCAGGATTGGCACTAGCTACGAAGGGCTGCTCAAGTCACGTTAAAGAACTTGACAATATTCCAGCATTCTCTGAGCAAGAAGTCAAAATTATTTAACACCTAAGCCTTTTTTTCTAGACTCTTTTCTATATTATGTTATTTGGGCTCATCATAGCAAATTCTTCAGTGTTAAAACTGTTCTCTGTTCTCACATTTGAACAACTCTATGGGTTTGGGGGATTTTCTCGTAGCTCTTATATATCCCTATATATTATATCTATATCGCGCAATTTTGACCGTCAGCTACATGTTGGTAAGACACAAGCAAAGTATTACTGTAACTAAGTTATTTTTAAAGTTAAAATATATTTTTATGTGCCTTTGGCTTTTTATTGCAGAGTCTACATTTTATAGATACTACATCAAATGTTGTCATTTGACTTGTCTCCATTGGGGTTCCATTGTAAGCTGCGTATGTATATGTTTGGAAAAGTGTATTCATACTTAGCTTTATTTCTTTTTCTTCATCTGTTAGCATACTTTTCAGAGCACCCAACAATGGATTGTTAAATATAAGGGCACAGGTTACTCATGATGCTTCTGCAGAGACTGTGGGCTACACCATATAATGTTATTTGGAAATATAGGTATTTTAGTACAGTACATAACTTGCATTACATAGGTACTTCATGCGACACAATAAAGAGTAAATGTTAAAATGAAGTTGCTTGTTTATAGTAATAAACAAAAGCGTAAGAGAATAATAATATTTTCCTTAAGTTCAGGGCTAGAAAAATTGCTTCTCTAAAGTGTATGTGAGCCTTTAAAATAAGAGGTGATTTCCGTCCACTCTGCAGTTTTGATTTTTGCCCAAAGGTTTGAGATTCCAGAAACAGGACCCTTCAGTGTTAGGAAAAATGAACATGTGAGATCAGAATTTTTAAGTCAACACTGATGCCAGCCTCTCAAAACTCATTTCTGTGAAGAACCTCACTCTAATACACTCTGTAGCAAACTCTTGTAACCCCAATCCCGTCCCTGTTAGACAGATGTTTCCTGGCTACAGGTGCCATATAAACCAGATGAAGGAGGCTAAAAAGAAGGCAGTAGAAAATACCCACCCCTGCCGCTGCCACGGAGAGATGCCTGAGGACATCAGTTAAGGAAACAGGAAGAGGAAATGTACACAGCAGTTCCTGTCCTGTCAACCACCCTTCCCCCCTTCAAAGTCAAACACTTGCACATAATAACTTTCATTTCTCCTAGAACTATATCCCTGAAATGACTTCCTCTTCCCAAATACGTCAATGATTGTCCCACCTGGTTGGGGGGGGTGTGAGGGGAGGGACACAAGACAACTCACCAAGTAGAAGAGGAACCCGGTTTCCCTAGAGCACCGAGTACTGGCCTTCATAACTTCCCAGCTGCATTTCTAGCCCATGATTTTCTAGTGTTTTTTCTGTCAACCAGACCCTTTCAACGCTCCCCATCTACGTTAGCGGTCACGTTTATTCTCATTTTACTCTTCATCTTCAGCATGGCCTCAAGGAAAAGATTAAACTATTAGCTGAAACAGTAATGTTTGCACATTTCCTCTGCTTGGGTTTATTTGATAGAATCTAAGTAATAATGCATCCTCGCAGGTATTTAACGATCACACTTTGGGCACTCTCACATAGAACCTCCCATTAGGTTAGGTAGGTATAATTGAGAGGGCACAAACATGCCCCTCTTAGAGGGGAAACAGAGCCACATCCTGCTTGTGATTTTGTGAAGTCATTTCTCTCGTGGCAGCCCTTCTAATACCTGGTTCCTTCTCCAAGGAGCAGGTGCAGAGCTGGTGGGGGCTTTCTGCAAAAAGGCACTTTCAACTTGCACCTGCTGAGAGCTGAATTGACGTTCCCAGTCTGTGAACATTCTCCTACTTTTAACCTAATTTATCAAGATGCACTTTATTTGCAAACTCAAAATGCTGAGCCACTTGTGACCCAACAACCAGAAAAGAGACCATGCGATTTGTGTTAAGTAGAGACTCTTTTGTGTTGTAGGCAAGGTTCTTGGAGGTGATCTTTTCCCTGGGCGTTGAGACCTAACAGAGGACACCATATATTATTTCTGCCTCAGCTTATTTGCTTAAAAAAATCAGAACATCAGGGTACTTAGCTCTTCACAAATACAAAGTCATTACTTAGCACATTTCAGTGGTTCAGGTCACTGTCAACAAATACGGAAGACTAAATCGGTTGAACAGAAACCCAGGTCTCCAGAATCACAGTCTTCTTTCTATTATTCAAAGTTAGTTTTTCAAGTCTCTGCACAAAACACTTGAAGTCATGGAATGGAGGAAGTCATGAATCCATTAACTTGATAAATGTTTTTACACAGACAAAAGCATACATTGTGATGGCTTTGCGCCTCCTAATATAAACCATTTTACTGTGAAACAAACAATAAAACAAGTCGGCACGATGGTTTCTCTCCAATAAGAGTTTTTCCTTTGGAAATCATTGCCAACCTAGTCCCTAATTTAGCAGTTCTAATAGAAGTCCTCAGACTTTAGAATTAGCCTACCAAACTAATACGAATGATTGACTTACTTTTCTTCTTTTGACAAGTCAATAAGCCACATACATAATTAGGTTATTGGCTGCCTCCCTGTGTCTCCACCCATACTTTCCGGCCAGATCCAGCAATAGAAGTTTCCAGATGTTAAATGATAAGCTAGCATCGACTCAGATGGGTAGCCTTCTGGTTTATTTGGCTGTATGGGGCTTGAAAATGTCACAATACCCAAAACGATATTCACGCATTAACTTACGTGTTGCTAAGCAATACAATTGTTTTCCAAAGAAGAAGATGATCTCCCTGGTTGGTTGCTTGATTGACATGTTGGTTTCATCTGATGATACCTGGAGAGTTGCATGCTTGGTTGGGATGGATGGCACATGATTTCATCCAGCTGGTCTTTCATCTGAGAATGTTGAATTCTCCTTATTCTTACAGCAAGTGATTATTAAGAAGTAGGCCTAAACATTTCTTGAGTTGTAAGGGAGTCATCATTTGGTGGTAAAATGCTGCAGAGAAAGTCATGTGGAAGAAAGGGAACCACGCTTATTCTATGAAGAGATGTATAACACAGGGAAGTCTGTGTCACTACAGTACCCGTTACCTGTGGTTTCAGTTACCCATGCCATCCGGCCTGGAAGCAGATGATCCTCCTGACCAATCGCCAGAAGGCCAACAGTAGCCCAACACTATGTCGCGATGCCTACTCACCTGATGTCGTCTCATTCTGTAGGCATTTTATCATCAAACATCACAAGAAGGGTGACTACAGTACAATAAGCTATTTTGAGAGAGACCACATTCACATAAATTTATTATAATATATTGTTATAATTGTTCTATTTTATTATTATTGGTAATCTTACTGTGCTTAATTTAGACACTAAACTTTATGGATGTATAGGAAGACATAGTACACCTAGGGTTTGGTACTGTCTGTGGTTTTAGGCATCCTCTGGGGGTCTTGAAACATATCCCCTGTGGATAAGGGGGGAAACTGTAATATACTGCATTTAATTGTCCTCCATTTGTACTTAAAAAAAAATTCTATAGTGAATTCATTTCCACTGGCTTCCAAGGGAGGTCAATAATCTTTATACTTTGAAGGTCAGCCAAATTTCCTTCACGGAAAGCAGATCAACACTGGTGATAGATACATAAAAACATCTGCCCAAATCAAAGCCACTTCGCCGAATACAGTTCATATTCCAGAGTCTCCTTGTGCAGACCGAGATGCCTGCCATACATCAAAATTAGGGAGTCTGAATAGGTAAAGTGGATATTATGCTTGCCATAAAACAATTACTGCAATAAGTCATGAGACGTGTGTGATTCATTGCCAAAAGATCATCGGGAAAAAAGACCTTTGAGTTCTGGGCAGGGAAAGACCTGGATGGCTTCATGGAAGAGGAGGGCCCAAATAGATTTGTTTTTCAGGAGAGGGAAAATACTGGGGAGGAAGAAGATCCTGGGCAAACAAAAGAATACACTGCATCCTGGAAGTCTTTTTACTAAAAACAGTCCAGGAATAGGGATCGAAGTAGAAAATGAAAGAATTGGGCCCACGCCTGAGGAGGGTCTCCCAGTGGAATAAGACAACTCTGGAGTAGGAGATTGCTGAACAGGTGGCTTCCAAGTTTAGAAATTGATACACAATAAGCCACCATCTTGTGAAAGCTCACGTCCAGTTAACGGTGCCTCTACTATGACCCAAAGGCCAGCCTGGGGACACTTCAACTGTGAGGCCAGTGAGTGTTCAGGGAAGGTCATTCATGATGATGGAAGAAGCAAGAGGGGCAAAGTATCTCCTGAAACAGCACCAGATGAAACAAGTTCTTTTTTTTTTAATTTTTTATTGTTATGTTAATCACCATACATTACATCATTAGTTTTTGATGTAGTGTTCCATGATTCATTGTTTGTGCAT